CCCGCCCCCGCATTCAGAACTCATAACCTCTTGCTCACCCCCCACCTCTGTTCGTCGCGACTGCTCCGCGGAGTCACGGGTCACAGACTCCATCCCACAAGCGAAGCCCCATCCTGGAATGGAGACCCTGTCGCGCACTAGCAATGCCTACTAGGAAGCTGAAAACCGCACAATCGTAAAATCTTTTGCTTTTGTGTTTTCCAGGAGCATTTTGTGTCTTATTCAAGGGTCATGAGGGCTGGTGGGACAGGACCCCCACCCCCCAAATTCAACCAGCTTCTGCCAGTGGACCTGATAGATAATTCCTTTTCAGCAGACAAAATTCTGAGCCTAAATTGATTCATTCTGAGAGGAAGCCACCGCTTTTCAACCTACTCAATCCACCTTCTCAAACTAGAATGTGAGATTAGGTAGAAGCTGAGAGGCCATCCTATGGAAACTGCAGATTCTATGTGCTCTGGTTTGGATATGATTAGAGAGTGTCTTCCAAGGATTGTTGGAAATTTGGTCCCCGGTGTGGTGATGTTGGGAAGTGGTGGAACCTTTAAAAGGTGGAGCCCAGTGGGAGGTGATTAGGTTATTGGAGGTAGTAATGCTAGTCTAGAAGAGTATGTTAGTTCCCTTCAGAGTGGACTGTTATGAAAGAGTGAGCCTATCCAGGTATGTTGAGACATTCTTATAATCCCAATTACTTGAGAGGCCAAGACAGAAAGATCACAAATTCAAGGCCAGCCTGGCAATTTAGTGAGGCCCTGCCTCAAAATAAAGAAGGCTGAGGCTAGTGGCAGTGGCTCTTGGCTGTAATCCCAGCAACTCAGGAGGCTGAGACAGGAGGATCAAAAGTTCGAGGCCAGCCTCAGCACCTTAAGCAACTTAGTAAGACTCTGTCTCAAAATTAAAAGAACTAGGGATATAGCTCAGTGGTAAACTGCCCCTGGATTCCATCCCTAGTATGAAAAAAAAAGTGGGGGGAGGACTAGTGGTAGAGCACTTGCCTAGCATGGATAAGGCCTTGGGTTCAATCCCCAGTACCACCAAGGAAATAAAACCAACCAACAAAAAACAACCCGCAATGTGATAGCATCATATATATATATAAAATACAGGCATGGTAGTACATACCTCCACACTGCTTGGGAGGCCAGGTTGGGAAGATCACTTAAGCCCTGGAGTTTGAGATAAGTCTGGGCAATTTAACAACCCCCCTTCCTCCCCCAAAAAAAGAGTTTGCAGAAGAATGGATAGATTAAGAGAAACTGGAAGTTTGAGGGTAAGGTAAGGGGATTGATACATCTGGAGAAGTTTGAAAGCAACATGTCTTTGTGTTCACATAGAAATACTGGGTTACACAGGTCTTTGACAGTCCTTATCACTAGATGGTGGAATTGCTGAGAGTCTGATTTTCTTTTTAATACTTTTTGGTGTTTTACAGATTTTTAACATGAACACATTTTATTTTATTTTTTTAAAATATTTATTTATTTATTTTAGTTTTCGGCGGACACATCTTTGTATGTGGTGCTGAGGATCGAACCTGGGCCGCACGCATGCCAGGTGAGCACGCTACCGCTTGAGCCACATCCCCAGCCCTTTATTTTATTTTATAAGAGTAAATTTTTCTATGTGTTTATTTTGAAGATCACTCAAAGGGTTTGGGATATAGCGTCAGTGGCAAAGTGCTTGCCTATCAGACATGAGGCCCTGGATTCAATCCCCAACACCACACACACACAAAAAAAATACAGGTCACTGAAGCTGTTGTCATGCTGAGCTGTGGGCTGGGGCAATAGTAAGTGGGGACTGCTGCGATGAGAAGAGGAACATCAAGCCTGGGATTGATGAGGGCTTGGGCTCCATGGGGACAGGTGAGGGTCTACTGGGGGACTAGGCCATCCTGGGGAGTGGGTGTGGGCAATGGGAAGTCCCTGAATGAGACTGCCACAACTGCAGAACTCCTTCCCTGGACCGAAGTGGTATGACAGGCACCCCAAGAGACAGTGGGTCTCCTAGTGTGACTCCTCCCCAAATCTTGGTAATGCTAATTCTGGGCTGCCTGTGCAGGGACCTGGCTGCAACTGCCCTTTGAGGCAACTCCATCGTGCTGTCTGTCAGAGCTACTCCTTCTGGGGGAGTTGGATATTTCTCAGAAGGTGGAGACTGGCTCATGACCCAGGGAGCAAGTTGGGCAGGCCCCTGATACCCTTGTTTCCTCGTTTCTGATCCAGAAGGAAGTTATACATGTGTTTCTTTACCTGACCTACCTTCCTCCCCTTCATCCCCATGAGCTGGTGGTCCAGTAGATGGTTTTTAGGACCCCCTATACCTGAGCCAGGGGCATAGTTGCTTGGGTTCTGCCAAACAAAAAGGCAATGCCCCACCCACAATTCACCAGAAGTAAAATAATCTTAGGGATGAAGAAGGTCCCTTTCCCAAACATCTGAGTATCTCTGCAAGTCTTAATGATACAGCAGTGAACAAAATCAATGCCATAGTTAGGATTTTTTATTCTTTGCTTTTTTTTGGGGTGGGCGATACTGGGGATTGAATTCAGGGACACTCAGCCATTGAGCCACATTTCTAGCCCTATTTTGTATTTTATTTAGAGACAGGATCTCTCTGAGTTGCTTAGCGCCTCGCTTTTCCTGAAGCTGGCTTTGAACTTGAGATCCTTTCTCTGCCGCTGGGATTATTGGCAAGTGCCACTGCGCCTGGCTTTTGGCTTTTTTTTTTTTTTTTTTTAAAGCAGTGCTGGGGAATTACCACCACAGAGTACTGTGATAATGGCAGAGGCTCAGCACCAGAAGGTTCTGGCCCTGCAGTTCTAGCAAGTGATTCGACCTCTAAGCTTCAGCTTCCACCTGGTAGTATCAACCACCATGGTTATGGAAATAAAGTGAGCTGATACTGGTAAAAACACTCAAACAGAACGAGCACTCAGCAGAAAAGTACAGCTATTTTGTACTTTTATTACTTTTTCTTAACCAATAAGCTAAGCAAAGGAGTTGTAATTTTCAGTGTTCCAGGTCCAGAGAAGAGCCTCAAGCTTTTTAGTTAGCAATGCTTTTGGCTTCAACTAACAGAAAGCTTACAGTTGCTTAAACTGATTATTTTTCTCATAACAAAAATTCTGGAAATAGGGAGCACCTGAAGCAGCAACTCAGGGATATCTGAGGTTTTCTTTGTGCATTTCTTTTGGTCTTTCCCTCCACAATCACAAGAGTGATTGCCAAAACATGAAGTATTTTATCTGTACTCTTGTTTGAAGAAAAATATCAAAGGGGTTTGTAGTATAAATACACATTTGTGGGCTGGGGCTGTAGCTCAGAGGCAGAGTGCTTGCCTAGCATGCGAGAAGCACTGGGTTCGATCCTTAGCACCACATAAAAAATAAATAAAATAAAGACATGCTTTCCATCTACAACTACAAATTTTTTTTAAAAAAATACACATTTGGAACTTATTTTTTTTAAAGGTATTACTTGCACAAGGTAGAAAATGTGAGCAGCATAAAAGGCAATACAGCAGCACATGGTCCCCTAACCCTCCCACAGCAAATGCCATTAAAATTTTGTTTCCTAAAAACAAGTCTCTGCATCCTCAAATGTGTGATCGGGAGCCTCCTAAGAAAATGATAAATCTTTCAGACACCATAATACATTTCAATAAGAAATAGACTTTGTATTTTCAAGCACTGTACAACATTTCAGATTATGTCCGAGGTTTGATAAACAACTTGTTTTCCACACAGGGCTTTTTTTCCTTTTCTTTTCTTTTTTCTTTTTTTGGTCACAGTGGGGATTAAACCCAAGGTTTTGCAAGTGCTAGACATGTGCTGTACCCCTGAGTCACATGAGCAGCCAAGCCCCCTTACAGGCCTTTATGTATAAAGTAAAAGACATAATAGTTTGCATTTTATTGAAAGAATGTGAATCCATGTGTGTGTATATCAAACTATACACACTGCTTTTGTTTTTATTATTATTTTTATTTGTGTTACTGGGAATTGAACTCAGGGCCTTGCCCATACTAAGCACTCAGCTACACCCCTAGTCACTCCAGTTTTTAATTTAATTTTATTTTTCTAGTACTGGGGATCAAACCCAGGGGCCCTCTACCACTGGGCTAAATCCCCAATCCTTTTTAGTTTTGTTTTGAGACAAGGTCTCACTAAGTTGCCCAGTATGGCTCTGAACTTGTGTCTCCCTGTCTCAGTCTCTTGAATTGCTGGGATTATAGTAGTGCACACCTTGTGCCTGGCTGAAAAGGTCCATTTCTAACATAATGACAGCACTGTTATTGATCTTGGACATTTTGAGAACCACCACAGTAAGTTACAATCTCTTTAGGGCAGGGACTATATTATTTCCCACTGTATTCAGAGTTAACATCACTAACCTTGCAACACAGTAAGTCCCTGAGAGGCTACAGGAATGATGGCAATCCTAGGTTCTGGTAGTTCTCCAGCATCATATCACTATACATAACATCATGTACAGGTTTCTCTGAATTAGATCCAGGAAACTCCACTCCTTCTGCATGAAGTCCACAGCCACAACATCAAAGCTGTGAGCATCTTCACCAACATTTATAGGAGAACGAGGAAGTGGGACCCAATGCCTACACAGGGTCTCAAGGTCTTCAATTATCTACAATCTCCCTTATCTGAATTCAAAAACTCTTTTTTTTTTAAGAGAGAGAGAGATAATTTTTTAACATTTATTTTTTAGTTTTCGGTGGACACAACATCTTTATTTTAATGTGGTGCTGAGGATCGAACCCAGCGCCCCGCGCATGCCAGGCGAGCGCGTTACCGCTTGAGCCACATCTCCATCCCTAAATTCACACACTCTTTATCTAACTTTGCACATTCTTTTATTTATTTATTTATTTTAAATTTTTTTTAGAGAATTTTTTTAAATATTTATTTTTTTTTAGTTTCCTGCCGCAGTCCGGCTGCAGCAAACTGAGGGGAGGGGTGACGAACAACTTGTGTACATTGATACAGCAGGAGTGGTAGCCATTTATTGCAGGACAGGAGCAGTATTTATACATTCCACACAGCTTATCTAATTAGCATAAACTAGATACATCAGTCAACCAATAAGGAATCTCCACACTTAATGGCTCCCTGGTGTTACTTCACAAACCACTCCCTCTGGCATTTTGCCAGGCGCCATCCAGACTTGTTTACAGACCCTAACATTTCTCTGGCAAAATGCCAGGCGCCATCCTGACTTGTTTACAGACTCTAACAGTTTCCAGCGGACACAACATCTTTGTTTGAATGTGGTACTGAGGATGGAACCCGGGCTGCAGGCATGGCAGGTGAGCACGCTACCACTTGAGCCACATCCCCATCCCAACTTCGAACATTCTTAATCTTATCAAGTCATGTGGCACTTCTTGAATATAAATTTATCTCATCATAACGAGGCTAGCAAAATCTTGTCTCATTTCCCTTTGAGTTCACTGCTCAGGACATTCCAATATTGGGAATCGAACCTAGAGCCTCGGGTATGCCAGACGGGCGTGCTGCTACTGAACTTCATCTCCTGACACGGAGATTTTTTTTTAGACATGGTCTCCTACGTTGCCTAGGGTGGCCTTGAACTTCCAATTCCCTTGCCTCAGCCGTCCAGGTCCCTGGGATCAGCGGCGTGGACCACCGCCTCAGGCTTCAGGCTGCATTAAGTGAAGAAGCACAGACACCTCAGCCAGGTACTCCGCTTGTGGCCACACCCCGTCGCCTCGCCCGATCCCTGCCCTGCCCTCCAGGCTGGGTCCTGGTCCTTCTTCCCGCCCACCAACCACACCTTCTGGCTTGAGCTTCCTTCCCGGTCCCACCCTTGGGCCTGGGCCCGTCCCAACCCGGTGCCGTCTTCCAGGCTTCTTCTTGAGATCTTTTTCCCTTTTCTTTTTCCCTGGACTGAACCCAGGGACTTGCGCTTGCTGGGCTACATTCCTAGCCCCAAGCTTGGTCCCTGTCCCCTTCCGAACCAGGCTTTCTGGGCTAGGTCCACGCCTGGGTACACGCTCTTCCGCCCACTCCCCGCCCACTCCCCGCCTTTATTCCCAGCCCAGCCTCCGTCCTGGCCACGCCCCCAATTGGTTCCCGCCCAAACCACGCCTTCCGGGCTTGGTCCTCGTCCCGGCCCCGCCCCTGGGCCTCACCCAGCCCCTGCGACACCGCCCAGGCTGGGTCTTAGTCTCTAGCCCGGCCCCCGGGCAGGTCTGGTCTCGAGGTGGTCCGGTCCTGGAACCTGACCACATCCTTGCGAGAGGAAAGCGGGAGGTCCCGCCGGGTGCTGGAAGTCCGGCTGCCGCCCCTCCCGCCGCCTAGGCATTCCCGAGGGAATCCCGACTTCGCTTTGACCGGAAGCGGAAGTACGTGGCGGCGGGATCATGGTGACTCTTACTGACCTGCCGGATTCGGTGCTGCTGGAAATCTTCTCTTACCTCCCGGTCCGGGACCGGATCCGCATCTCCAGGTGCGGCCCCTCTCCTCGGGGGAAAGAGCCGGGCAGGGGGCGCACCCGGAGATGCGGCTCCGGCCCCAGCGGGGCCGGGGTCGTTCTAACGGCGAGTCCCCTCCCCCAGGGTCTGTCACCGCTGGAAGAGGCTGGTGGACGACCGGTGGCTGTGGCGACATGTCGACTTGACGCTCTACACGGTACGCGGGGTCGGTGGCGCGGGCCAGGGCTTCGTCTGGATTGGTTGGACCCGAGGACCAGCCTTCCCACCCTGGGACGGTGTGTCAGGAACTGCAAGAACTGGCCCTTGGTCAGCGCAGGCCTGGGATTTCCAGTCAGGCAGTGTGGGCCCGTCTCAGGGCCTCAGTGTCCCCGTCCTAGATCCCTGCGGGACCGGCGCGCGTGCTGAGTCCACGCGAGGCCCGTGGTCAGTCCCAGCCCCTAAAAGAAAAGCTCGGTCGTGGGGCCGCGGTGCGGAGAAGGGGCTTGCAGCAGTGCCTGGCCCTCCTCGGCACCCAGGAAATGCTGGTCTGTGATGACATTGTCAGACGCTGATACCAGTTTTTTGTAGCGAAATTATTTTCCCGAGTCAACTGATTTTCTGAATAAAATTCCTGAGTAGTACGACCAAACCATTTCCACTTTCTCTCATTTGCATTTTATTTTCTTTGTGTTTATTATGAAATATTTCAACTATCCAGAAGTGTATGGAGGGTGATATTACAACCATGTCTTTACCACCTAAATTTTTTTTTTTTTTTTTTTTGGCTATACTGGGGACGGAACCCAGGGCTTGCTTGTGTTAGGTGACCACTCTAGCACTAAGCTGTATCCGCCACCCTGTTTCTTTTCTTCTCTCATTGTTTTTTCTTTTCCCCCTTGGTCCGACTGAGGAGTGAACCCAGGACCCCTCTACCACTGAGTTACTCTCCCGGCTCTTCTTATTTTTTGTTTTGACATAGGTTCTGGATAAGTTGCTGAGGCTGGCTTGGAATTTGTGATCCTTTTGCTTCAGCCTCCAGTCGCTGGGATTACAGGCCTGTGCTGCCGATTTCCGTGGTCTTTTTAACGTTTTATTTTTGAGAAAGGATCTCACCAAGTTACCCATGCTGCCCTGGGACTTTCAATTCTATTCGCTCAGCCTCCCAAGTAGTGAGGATTGCAGATGTGTGCCACTGTGGGGCAGATCTAACCTAAACTTTGTTTTATTTACTGCACATCATACGTGTGACAGACACCTGTGTGTATATGTAAACACACAATATACGTGTACACAGTAAAACATTTATAGGTCTACTTGTTGTCTTATCCTTTTTATAAGTAGCCAGTATTATAAAGAAGATTTGTAACCTTACTTTCACATCATTTCATACGTGTGTTCATAAGCAGTATATAGTATAGTGAATGAATTTCTGAACAATTTCCTATTTAAATAATGCTGTTTTTTTTAGCACATAGAAATCAAGTTCATTCCTTTTAACTTATGTATCCATTTTCCTGTTAATAGATGTTTAGATTATTTCCAATAATCTAAATAGTTAAAATCAGTTTCTCAAACTTTACTGTGTATATGAATCACTTGGGGTTCTTATTAAAATGGTTAATGGGGTCCTAACCTCTCCATTTCTACTCCAGGTATTGTCCTCATTCTGGAAATCTTCTCTTACCTCCCGGTCCGGGACCTGATCCGCATCTCCAGGTGCGGCCCCTCTCCTCAGGGGAAGACACTTTGGTTAACAAGAATAGCCTTGTGATTGTCTTCTTCTTTTTCTTCCCCCCCCCCCCCAGGGATTGAACCCATTGAGCAACATCCAGCCCTTTTAAAAAAATTTTTATTTAGAGACAGAGTCTCACTAAGTTGCTTAGAGCCTCACTAAGTTCCTGAGGCTGGCTTTGAACTTGTGATCCACCTGCCTCAGCCTTCCAAGCTGCTGGGATTATAAGCATGTGCCACTGCGCCCAGTGATTGTCTTCTTTTTTCCAGGTGAACTTACACTGAAACCTGGAAGTGCACTTTCTGAGGAGTAAGATCATTTAGACTTTACCATATTCAGTTCTTAATCCAACATTTCAAAATCAGAAAGCTTGCAAAGTGAAGCCAGGCTTGTTCAAGCACACCTGTGGAATCAGCTACTCAAGAGGCTGAGGTTAGAGGATTACTTGAGTCCACAAGTTTGAGATCAGCCTGGGCAACATAGCAAGATCTCATCTTTAAAAACAGTAATGCCGGGGCAGTGTTGCACACCTGTAATCACTGAGGCAGGAGGATTGTGAGTTCAAAGCCAGCCTCAGCAGCTTGGCGAGGCATTAAGCAACTCAGTGAGACCCTGTCTCTAATAAAATATTTAAAAAGAGGTGGGGATGTGTCTTAGTGGTTAAGTGCTCATGGTTCAATCCCCAGTACCAAAAACAAACAAACAAAAAAACCCCAACAACAAAAACACTTGGAAAGTGAAAAGGTTTTTTTTTTTTTTCCAAACCAGGTACAAATTTATTTGGTAATAAAATCTTCCCCAACCTGGCATAAAGCTATCAATACCCCTTTTCTTTTCCTACTCAAAGTGTTTTCCATGATGTTTCTTTTTTTCTTTTTTAATATTTATTTTTTTTATTTATTTCTTTGTTTGTATATGGTGCTGAGGATCGAACCCGGGCCGCACGCATGCCAGGCGAGTGCGCTACCGCTTGAGCCATATCCCCAGCCCCCATGATGTTTCATAAGAGATTATGACCCATGGGCTGGGGTCCTAGCTCAGTGGTAGAGCACTTGCCTACCATGTATGAGGCATTGGTTTCAATGATCAACATCATATATAAATAAATAAATAAAAAGTCCATTGACAACTAAAAAAAATTTTTTTTTTTAAAAAAAGAGATTATGACCCTATAGAAAAATTGTTTTCATTGAGATCAACAGTTTTTGAGACCTGATGTTGCTATGTTGTCCAGCCTGGTCTTGACTCCTGAGCTCAAATGACCTTTCCACCTTAGCCTTCTGAGTAGCTGGGACTATAGGCATATAATCCCAAACCTGTTTTTTTGTTTGTTTGTTTTTATTGTTGTTGTTTGGTGGTTTTGGGAGTTGAATCCAGGGCCTAAGTCATGCTAGACAAGTGCTCTACCACTGAACTATACCCCCAACCCTAAAATCAACTTTTTAAAAACCATTTTATAATAAATACATAAAAGTTGAGAGAATAGCATAGAGAATCCCAAATACCCAACCTTAAAGTTTAATTACATTTATTACCTGTTTATCCATTTGTGCATCTATCTATTCAGTGCTTTCTCAGTCCATGAATCCATCTTATTATTTTTAAAATTCGTTCAAGTAAGTTGCAGGACTTCAGTCTACTAAACATTTTTAGCACACCTGCTATTTGCTGGAAATGAGCATTTGTTTATAGTTTTCCTTTTATGTTGTTTGAATGAGGTTTAGCTGTGTTGTTCAGATTGCCCTCAAACTCTTGGACTCAAGCAATTCACCTGCCTCTGCCTCCTAAGTAGCTGGGATCACAGGTGCATCACCATACCAACCCCCCCCCCTTTTTTTTTTTTGGAGGTGTATTTACCAGTGAAAGATAATTTTTAAGAAATTATGCAAGTCATGAATGATTCTTCTGGTAAATACACTGAAATTGCTACAGGCAGAGCTAAGCTGTTGAGAGTTGTCTCTGTTAACCCCTTCCCCAGAGTCATCACTATTATTGCTCTGGAGTATTTCCCCCTCTCCCATCTTTTATGCATTTACAATGTACATTTTGCTTTTACAGTGCAGTGATTATAAGATCCAGATCAGGTTTTGGAGTCAGGCTGTACTGGAATCCTAACTTGATTCCCCCTGCCCCACCCTTTTGTTCTTTCTTTTGCATGTGTGTAGCTGAAACTGGAACTCAGGGTCTTACACATGCTAGGCAAGTGCTCTACCACTGAACTGTACCCCAGATTGGTGGGTACATTTTAACAAATGAAAGCATTAGGTTTTTTTTTTTTTTGATAAAACATGCATGATTCAAAATGCAAAGTAGCAAAAATTCATGTCTCCTTAAGGCCTTAATTAAGGTCTGCTCTCTATTTCTCTCCCTCACCTTACCTTGTTCTTTCTGCCAGAGGCAGCAGATGTTGCTATTTGCTTGCTTGCCTGTGTGCAGGGGGGTGGTGGGGAAATGGAGTTTGGGGGGGGGTATGGGGATTGAATCCAGGGATGCTCTGTCACTGAACTATACCCCAGCCCTTTTAAAATTTTTTAAAATTTTGGCTGGGCATAGGGGCACACACCTATAATTTTAGCAACTCCAGAGGCTGAGGCAGGAGGATGGAAAGTTTGAGGCCAGCCTCAGCAACTTATCAAGATCTTGTCTCAAAATAAAAAATAAAAATAATATCTCATAAGTAAAGTTTTCCTGGGTCCAATCCCCAGTACCATAATTTGTTTTTTTTAGTTTGTTTGTTTGAGACAAGAGTCTCACTAAATTTTCTCTCTATACTCTTGCCTCAGCCTCCTGAGCTTCTGAGATTAAAAGCATGTGCCACTGCTCCAGGTTCCTGTTTGCTTTTGTATCCTAGGAACACAAACACATAAACAGTTGTTCCATGGTATCTGCTAGGGATTGGTTCTAGGATCCCCTCAGATTCCAAATTTCTTAGATGTTCAAGTCCCTTTTTTAAAAAAATGGTGTATGGGGCTCAGTGGCAGAGAGCTTGCCTAGCATGTATGAGGCACTGGGTTTGATCCTTAGCACCCCATAAAAAGTAAACAAAATAAAGGCATGCTGTCCATTTATAACTGCAAAACATTTTTTTTTAATGGTGTAGCATTTGCATAGAATCAATGCATATCCTCCTATAGATTTTCTTTCTTTTTCTTTTTTCTTTTTTTGGTACCGGGTATTAAATTTGGAGACATTGAAAATGTACAGTCTAGTTTTTTTTTTTTTTGTCATCATTCCCTAAACAATACAGTATAACAATTAATTTCTAGCATTCACATTCTATAGTTATAATAAGTCATTCAGAGATGATTTAAATTCCATAGGAGGGCTGGGGTTGTAGCTCAGTGGTAGAGCGCTTGCCTCACACGTGTGCAGCACTGGGTTCAATCCTCAGCACCACATAAAAATAAGTAAATAAAGATCAACTAAAAAAAATATATTTCAAAAAAATTTCCATAGGAGCTGGGCACAGTGGCTCATGCCTGTAATCTCAGCAGCTCAGGAGGCTGACGTAGGAGGATTGAAAGTTCAAGGACAGCCTCACCAACTTAGTGAGGCCCTGTCTCAAAATATAAAAAGGGCTGGAGATGTAGCTTTTCTTCCCATGGTTACAGAGCGTCAACTGTGTTCTTTCAAAACAAAACAGGTGTTAGTGGTTTCCTGCATTCTATATTTCTGAAAAAACTACCATATTGCTTCCCAAAGAAGTTTCCACAGCAGATCATGAGAAAAGCTGCCTCTCAGCATCCTGACTCACATTTGATGTTGTGAAACTTAAAGAGTTTTCTTAAATATTATCTTTCAAATAAAAATTAACTTTGTCAGGGTTGGGGTTGTGGCTCAGTGATAGAGTGCTTTCCTTGCATGTATGAAGCACTGGGTTCAATCCTTAGCACCACATAAACAATAAAAATAAATAATAAAGTTATAAAAAATTAACTTTGTCCATTGGCTTTTTGCCCATTTCAAATTTTGCTAACCATAGCTTCTACCCTTGTGAGGTTCTGGTTAGTAGCCAGTATTTCTAACGAGTTAGTTTCCAGGGACCCGACTTGCTGGTCTAAATTTGGCCGAGAATTTTGGTATTTTTTGTTTGTTTGGTTTTGGTACTGGGGCTTTAGCCTGAGGCACTTTTCCACTGAGCCACATCCCAAAATCTTTTGAGACAGGCTCTTTAAGTTGCTGTAATTTTTAGAGCATTATAGTTATACCTAGTAATTGGGTTCTTTGGACAAAATCATGCATGCATGGGGCTGGGGTTATGGTTCAGTGGTAGAGCGCTTGCCTAGCACGTATGAAGCACTGGGTTCGATCCTCAGAACCACATAAAATAAATAACGGTATTGTGTCTATCTACAACTAAAAAAAAATCATGCATGAATGGATTTTGATTTATTCCATTTCAGTCCGTGGTGCCCATCACTTTCCTACCCTTCCTCCCTCCCCCATTCTTCTTCCTCTGCCCTACAAATCTTCCATTTACTTATTTATTTTTTATTTATTTATTTTCGGTACAGGGGATTATACCCAGGGGTGCTCAACCACTGAGCCACATCCCCAATCCTTTTTATATTTTATTAGAGACAGGTTTCGCTGAGTTGCTAAGGGCCTTGCTACTTGCTGAGGCTGCCTTTGAACTTGCAGTCCTCCTGTCTCAGCCTCCCTTGCCCCTGGGATTATAGGCATATGGCACTGCACCTGGCTATTTATTTATTTTTAAAATATTTTTTTTAGTTGTAGAGGGACACAATATCTTTATTTTATTTATTTATTTTTACCTGGCGCTGAGGATTGAATCCAGCGCCTCATGCGTGTGAGGCAAGCACTCTACCACTGAGCTACAACCCCAGGCCCTATTTATTTATTTTTGATTGGTGCTTTTGACATATACATAAAGGTGGAATTTTTTATGGTATATTTTTACTTGCACATGACATGAGTTGTTAGATTCATTCCACATTTCCTTCCCTTTCCCATACGTCCTCCCTCTCTCTCAATCTCCTCTATTCCACTGATCCTCCCTGTATCACCACTGATATCTAATCCACCCCATTTCCCCCCTTATTTTGCTTTAGCTTCTGCATATGAGAGAACATTCCACCCTTGATTTTCTGAGTCTAGCTTATTTCACTGAGCATGTCGTTCTCCAGTTCCATCCACTGTTAAATGCCAAAATTTCATTCTTTATGGCTTCGAAGGACTCCATTGTGTATATGTACCACATTTTTTAATCCATTCATCTATTGATGGAGCATCTTGGCTGGTTCCATAATTTTAGCCACAAAGATTTGATTCCTATGTCAAAAGTAGTCAACAAAATTTATACCCAGTAGACTGGGTATGAAGCTGGTAGAGCATGTGCTTAGCATGCACAAGGCCCTGGATCTAATACCCAGAACCATAGATAGATTATATGCTATACATTTCCTTTTTTTTTAAATCTGCATAATGCTAGGAATTGAATCCAGGGCCTCATGCTTGCCAGACGAGTTGCTCTACCACTGAGCTACACTGAAGTCAATTTCTTTTTAAAGTAATATGTACATACAATGAAGTGAACTGGGTTTTCAATTGTATTTTGTTTTATTTCTTTCCACTGTACTGGGAATAAACCTAGGACCTCGAACTTACTGGGCAAGCACTCTACACTTGAGTTACATACACCCCCAGACCTTTTTTTAAACTTTTACTTTAAGACAGGGTTTCACTGAGTTTCCCAGGCTGGCCTTGAACTTGAGATCCTCTTGCCTCACCCTCCCAAGGAGTTAGGATAAGGGGTGTACTACCCCACCTGGCTCTGCTTGTGTTCTGTTAATTTCCCAGGGTCAGGCAGCTCTGATTGTTACTAGGCTGTGACTGTTTTTAATCATTTTTTTTTTTTTAACCTAGACCTAATTTACTCTGGGTAATTTTTAGCCTTTTTTTTTTTTCCAGCTTTATTCTCTGTGGTTTCTCTCTCCCAGAGGTGGTTATGAAGAAAGGCTTATAGAGGGGTGGTTCATTTTGTTTCCCTGCTCCATCTGTTCTGATCTATTTGGACCCACCCCCACCCCAAGACACACACACACACACACACAAACGCTGGACTTTAGCAGTCAGAATGGTGAAGTCAGACCCTCCTGCTGTTCCTGGGGAGGAGGCTAATGTGGAAGGGCAGAAACCCAGGGAAACACCCAAACCCCTGCCACAAGTAGTCAGGGGCCTTGGGAACCCTGTACCTCTCACCCAGTCACCCCAACCTCTGCCTCTTACAGATGCGGCCTAAAGTTATGTGGCACCTTCTTCGCCGATACATGGCATCTCGGCTCCATTCCCTGCGGATGGGTGGCTACCTCTTCTCCGGCTCTCAGGCCCCCCAGTTGTCCCCTGCCCTGTTGAAAGCCCTGGGCCAGAAGTGCCCCAACCTGAAGCGCCTCTGCCTGCACGTGGCTGACCTGAGCATGGTACCCATCACCAGCCTGCCCTGCACCCTGAGGACCCTGGAGCTGCACAGCTGTGAGATCTCCATGGCCTGGCTCCTTAAGGAGCAGGACCCCACCGTGCTGCCCCTGCTCGAATGCATCGTGCTGGACCGTGTCCCTGCCTTCCGTGACGAGCACCTGCAGGGCCTGACACGTTTCCGGGCCCTGCGCTCGCTGGTGCTAGGTGGCACCTACCGTGTGACCCAGACGGGGCTGGATACCAGCCTGCAGGAGCTCAGCTACCTGCAGAGGTTCGAGATGCTAGGTTGCACCCTCTCAGCCGACAGCACCCTGCTGGCCATCAGCCGCCACCTCCGAGGTGTGCGTAAGATCCGGCTGACCGTTGGGGGCCTCTCTGCTCCTGGCCTGGCTGTCCTGGAAGGAATGCCAGCCCTGGAGAGTCTGTGCTTACAGGGCCCCCTCATCACCCCAGAAATGCCCACTCCAGCTGAAATTGTTTCCTCCTGCCTCACCATGCCCAAACTCAGAGTGCTTGAGCTGCAGGGGCTGGGCTGGGAGGGTCAGGAGGCTGAGAGGATCCTGTGTAAGGGGCTGCCCCACTGTATGGTCATTGTTAGGGCCTGCCCCAAAGAGTCCATGGACTGGTGGATGTAACTGTGCCACTGTCCCAGCTTTCATAGTTGATGAAAGCCCTTGATGAAAGACCCTCTGAGCAGCAAATTGAAGAGGGCAGCTTATGGGGCTTGAGGGAACTGAAGGTGACAGGAGGAGACAATGAAGGCCTTGGGCCTCCAGACAGTGGGAATCATTGGCCAGCTGTGTGGCCTCAGCCTCAGCAGCCTGCCTCTGGAGGCCCAGTTCCCACATCTACAAATAGAGATCCGAGCTACCTCAGGATTATGTTGCATAGCCTTACTCTGACAGCCCCCGCCCTCAGAAGCCCTTGATGAAGGCCATCCTCCAGGTCATCCTCAGAGTTGTCCTCACCACCAGATGGGTGGAATTAAGAGCTAGAAGGACCTGAGGGGCCAAGTCCCCGCAATGATACTGAAAAGACTATACATGTGTTCCCACACGCCTGTGCACCATTTCTATATCTACACACACACAGGAGGCACAGAGATCAAGGGCAGATGAGGCTTGCCATTCATAATCAAAATGTTCATGAAGGTTCTCAGTTGTATTTTCTGTATTTTCTACCTTTTCCAAGTTTTCCACAGCAGATATTATTTTGCTATTAAAGAAAAATAATGAATTTTTTTTTCAAGAAAGCATTCAGTTTATTCATTCCTTAAGCACCTCCTGTTTTGGCAGGCAACATTCTTGGTACTGGGGCCACAGCAGTGACCAAAACAAAAGTTCTTGTACAGCTCCAAGAGGAGAAGGCGGGGTGTGAACAGGTTCATGGAATAATTTTGGAGCCTCTGAGACAATTAACCAAGGTTATGTGATGGAGGCATGGGTGCTTGGTAGAGAGGGCAGGGTTGAGCCTCTTGGCAGAGATCTAAGTGGTAAACCAGCTGCAGAGAAAGCTGGGGAAAAAAGATCCTGAGGTGGGAAAAAACTTGGCATTTTCCAGTAATGGGAAGGAGGTCTGTGGGCGGAGTGAGCAGGGAGGAGAAAGCCAGGTTGGAGAGCAATGGGGGAAGGGCAGGCAGGGCCTCACAGGTGGCTCAGGTGTTAGGGTTTCGGTAAGTAACAACTCTTTTCCTGTCTTTTGAGTCAGAACCACTTGAAGGACGCAGGTGGTAAAAGCCTGAGCATTTGCTTGCCCATGAGATAAGTGTTACTTCTGAACCCTTCTGAACCGGGTCTGAGGGTGTGTGGCTAAGCCCCGGACTAGGGGCTCATCACCTGCCTGGAAGGCAGGGCCAGGACTGAGAGAAGAGGGCTGAGCTGGGTCTGCTGATTCCTTATTCTAAGCTCACCCATCAGAGGAGCTGGACATGTTTCTTCCTGCTATTCCCACTTGGATGGAATAGAAATTCCTTCTGTCTTGCCAGGATTGGGGTGTGGGTATGCCCCTGATGAGGCCATGGTTAGGGTCTTATTGTCCAAAGCTATGACCAAACCTAGCAGCTCTAGCCCAGGACGTTTGGGAGACAGGATTGAGCCAAGTTAGAGCACAGAGATTGGCATTTTCACAGCTGCGGGGGGTGGGGAGGGAAATAAAATTAGGCCTGTTTTGCTGATGGAGGCTGTCAGGAGAACTGGGTTCTATTTGGGGGAATATGATGGAGGGTCCACATCAGCCACACGTTACCGTGGTTTGGATAAGGTTTGAATTTGTCCCCCAAGAGTTCATGTGTTGGAAGCTTGGTCCCTAGGGAGGCAATGTGAGAGGTGGTGGGACCTTCAAAGGATGGAGTTAGGACTGGGGATGTGGCTCAGTGGTAGAGCAATTTCCTGGTATGCATGGGGCCCTGAGTTTGATCTTCAGCACTACAAAAAAGAAAAAAGATGGAGCTTAGTGAGAAGGACTTAGTAGGGATTGTAGGACTCTAACCTCTCTGGCTTCTTTTTGATGACAAGACTTGTTCCTTCCTGACATGCTGATGCCATTGTGACATCATTAGCCATGAGGTTTGTATCAGAGGCACGTTAATGCAGGCATCATGTCCTTGAACCTCTAGAACTGAAAATAAGCCCTTTTTTTCCATTATGAAGTTAGCTTGCCTCTATTATTTTGTTATAGTAATGAAAAACAGATTGATACAGTTGGGCTCTGCAAGTTTATTTTGGCTTATGTTTTTGGAGGTTGTGGGATAAGATCAGGCAGATCCATTGTTTTAGGGGCTCTGGTTAGGGTGTTGGATGCCAATGACAGGGAGCATACAGTAGAGCAAATAGCTCACCACATGAGCCAGGAAGCAAAAGAGGAAAAGGCCCTGGACATAATCCTATTCAAGACCATGCCCCTAATACTACCCTATCACCTAAAGATTCCACCAGCTAAGAACAGTATACCCTGGGGACCAAGCCTTTAACACACAGACCTTTGGAGAACACACATAATCCCCTACAGTTATATGTTGAAATTCTAGCTCCCAAGGGGGCGGCGTTAGGAGGTAATTAAGTCATGAGGACAGGGACCTCATGAATGGGACTAGTGCCCTTTTCAAGAGTCCTCTATTAGGGTAGCTGGCACAAATGTCCACGAGAGAGACAGCTCTGAGTCAAGCAAAGGTTTATTGACAGAGAATATCTGCCAGGCTGCCCTTCTGCTAGGCGCAGCCGCCTGCTGGGAAATACTTCTTAACTATATAGTCAAGTACAAGGAAACAGTTTAAAAATAACCCATCTGGTCCTGTGATTGTTACTCGGCATCTTTGTTTTGATTTTGGCAATTAGGGACTCTTGGAGGCGGGCTTAACAAGAAGGTCATGCCTGGGTGGGCTTCTTAGGATGGTGGGTGCTGATTTTCAAAATGAAGTTACTTTGGCCTAAGGACTTAACAGTCTCAACTGGGCATGGTAGTGCATGCCTGTAATCCCAGCAACAATGGAGGCTCAGGCAAGAGGATCACGAGTTCAAGGCCAGCCCCAGCAAATTAGTGGGGCCTTCAGCAATGTAGTGAGATCCTGACTCAGATTTTAAAAGTGGGGGCTGGGGATAAAGCTCAGTAATAAAGTGCACCTGGATTCAATCCCCAGGGGGTTAAAAAAAAAAAAAAGCCCTGGGCTGGGGTTGTGACTCAGTGGTAGAGCGCTTACCTAGCATGTGTGAGGCATAAGGTTTGATTCTTAGTACTGCATATAAATAAATAAAGATCCATTGACAACTAAAAAAAAAATAAAATAAAAAAAAAAAGCCCCAAAGAGACTCTTGCCCATTCCACCATGTGAGGATACAGAATGCACTATGAACCAGGAAGCCCTCCTAGACATTAAAACTGCTGGTGGTTGATCTTGGACTTCCCAGCTTCCAGAACTGTTAGGAAAACATTTCTGTTATTCATTCCTCTTTATCCACAGAGGATGATTCTAGAATCCCTCACAGATACCAAAATCTTCAGAAGCTTATGTCCCTTATATAAGTATTGGCATAGAACCTACACACATCCTCCTGTGTAAGTAATCTCCAGGTTACTTATGATAACAATATAAATGTCACATAAATTACTGTTATTCTGTATTGTTTAGTGTATAAAGACAAGGAAAAAATGTCTATGTCTAGGCATGGTGTCCTACACCTGCAATTCTAGAAGGAGCCTGAAGCAGGAGGATTTAAAATTCAAGGCCAATCTGGGAAATTTATCAAGACCCTGTCTCATAATAAACAAACAAATAAATAAATAAATGGAAGGGACTGGGCATGTGGCTCACTGGTAGCATGCCCCTAGTTCAATCCCCAGTACCCACCCCTAAACACACAGTCTGAACCTGTTCAGTGTAGACAGACACAATTACACTTTCATGTGTTCTTTGTCCAACTTTGAATCCACAGATGCAGCTCTCCATGGATACTGAATGTTGGCTGCATTTTGTCACAGGAGCAAGAACAGATCTTCCTTGGGGTTTACATTGCAGGACATGGCTCCCAGGGGTTTTAAGGAATACAGTTAGTTAAGTTTCTTTCTTCCCATGAGGACCTCAATCCTCAATATCCTCAGTGGAAACCAATGTGGATGTTGAGAACATCTACTCCTTAAACAAAAAGACATTCTCTGAGTTTTTTTACTTCTTTCTGAAAAAAAAAAAGCCCTTTTCTACTAATCTTTGAGATATTTCTGTGTGTTCTTATTGTAGTAATACCTTTCCATCTGTTGCAATAAGCTCGCTCTCGCTCTCTCTCTCTCTCTCTGAGGGATTAAGCCCAGGTTCTAATTTAACCTTATCCACAAAACACTCAAATCAGTATTTGCTAACCACTGACCTACATCCCAGCCCTATTCTTCCTCTTGAAATGGAATTATTTTATTGAAGTCTCTATTTACCAATGTCCAGAGTTCTTTTCACTTGATAATGCAAAACAGACAAATGAACTAAATCCTTGGAATCATGAATGATTCCAAAATACATCTTAAACAGCTATTGACTGTCTTCACTTTAGCATCAGACAACTTCCCACCCTCTCATCCTCCAAACCACTTTCTCCTTAACTTTCTAGCTATTCTTCCACATCATACCTTTGCTTCCCTAGAGTTCACAAATAACAGATATTTTTAAAATGTTTCAGATAATGTTGCATTTTTAACTCCAGACCTTTCCTTCAGTGGCTCCCCATTGCAATCAAAGTAAAACTCAACATTTTTAGAGTTGCTCAGGTGCCCCTGTTATGATCTGACTCTGTGACTTATCTGGTTTTACTCTTCCTGGTAGTTTACCTTCGACCTAATCCCCCATTCACTCAAACCATTTCAGACACTGAGGGTTCCGCTGTCGATTAAAGAGGTCAAACACTCTCCTATCTCATGGCCTTTGCACTTGCTGTTTATTCTTCCCTCAGAAATTTACATTTTCTAAATTCCTTCAGCATTTTGCTGGGAATGAATTGGAAATATTATGTGTAAATATAATTATATATAATTATAATTATGTGGGTCTGTTTTCTCATCTGTTAAACTGTTGCTATCTACTCCCATCCCTAGCCCAAGCAGTGGGAAGATGCTACAACCCAAAGATACAGTGAGACAGAAATATGTTTTTGGTTTTGTTTTTTACAGTGCTAAGGGGTTAGATCCTTAAGCATGGTAGGCAAGCACTCTACCACTGAGCTACATATCCAGCCAGAAAGTGTTTTTCTTGTTTATGAGAACTTTCAGTACAGAAGATTTTATGGTTAGTTTCAAAAAGCAGCTGCTTGGGATGGAATGTAAAACCACCAGTATACAGCAGGAGGCAGAATATCACCTGAATTGCCATGTAAATCATTAACATCTCAACAGGAATATGAGAAAACCTATATGTCTATCTCTTCACCCTTGTTTGAGATAAAGTGAAAATAACTATTTGCTGGGCATCAACTTTATCATCTGGATACTCTGGTTTAGCATTTGTGATTTAAATTAAAACATGTCCCTCATCTTCCCAAAGACCCACATAACAAATAAAGGAAAATTTAAATGAAACTAGTTGTGTTTACATGAGAAATGCATATGTGTTATCTGTCATTTTTGTAAATCTGTATCCATATTTCATTCTGTAAGTTCACTTCATAATTTGCATTTTCACTGTACAAAACTAAATAGGTCCAATTTGCATGTATATCAACTTATTTTTTTTATTTTGGGGCTGCTGGGGATTGAACCCAGAGGGATTTTA